TTTTAAAGAGAAAGATTTTACAAATGTCAGCCAGTAGCAGCACGGTCAATGAATACAGGATGTGTCATATAAGGAAAATATTTCTTCTGTGTTTTGTTTTAAAAGCATCAATCTTCAATCTTTAGCAGTCTGTTAACAAACGATTACAATTATTTTACCCATTTAATCAACATATTAATATATATATATATATATATATATATATATATATATATATATATATATATATTTAAAGAAAGGTTAAAAACAAACTCTTTCAAGGACTAGAAAAGAACTTCTAGACTTGAGAAATCTATTTTCTTGAATATCAGTTTTAAACAGAAAGATTTTACAAATGCAAACCAGTATCAGCACGTTCAATGAATCATATAACAAAAATATTTCTAGTATATAATATTACTATTTCGACAGTTTTCTGTATAACAAAAGAATATTACTGCCAATATTAAATTTACAAGAATAAGAATAGGTACCTTGGTCATAAAACAAACATTAATCACTGAAAAGAGTCCATGTTTCTCGGATAATGATCGAGCCAACGGTATACAAATGAAGCTACAAATCCTAATGTGTTTGGTTTTAAAAACTTCCATCTTCAATCTTTAGCAGTCTGATACAATTATTTTACACATTTAATCAACATTTTAATGATAGCTGTTAAGGGGTCCACACCTTTTTATACAAGTGGACTCGCCCAGTGTGTACTTGTACAGCAGTACAAGTACACTGATTACCCGGCGGGTGAGAGAGTGAGTGTGTGAGGTAACTGCTTTGGAGGAGTCACAGTTGCGAGCACGTAGACTCAGAAAGAAAGTCATACTTCGATACTGAATTTCCCAGACTGTATATATATTATTATTGCTACTAACCGCATTTCTGGATCGACTAACCGTATTACCAATTGTATTATTACGTCAATACATTTATTTGCTATATTTCATTCCTGCGTTTGTCATTCATTTGAGACCGGATTTCATCCAGGAATCCACATCAATAACTCTAACATTTTAGATATTTATGACAACATACCTGGCCGCATACACAATTCCGTAAAATCCTTGTTGAAAACACAACTATACTTAAACATGAAAACAATAAACAAAAACTAAAAATTCTTGAAGCTATATACATAAAACAGTTGAAACCTAACCTATAAAAATAACAAAATAAACTATGAAATCTCCACAAATATTCTAAACCGCCTATAAATGATAACAGAAGCCATTGGTTTATACCAACGGCTTCCCATACTTAACACTTCTCGTTTTCACTCACGCGTGGTCATGTGTGACGTCACGAACTGCGATGCTATTTTCGCTTCTGCGTCTCGTATACACGAGTATTGCCGTTGCTTGGAAATTTTTCATGAAATGAAAACAGACTATCATTATTGTTTTGTTCGTGTATTGTTTAATATATTGAAATGTAATTGTCATCTTTGATAATGGCTTATGTAAGCCGAAAGCTTAGATAAGATTAAAAAACATGTCTCAATATGGTGTTTTTCTTTCATCTTTCAATGATAATGTTATTAAGCTTATCAGACAATATGAAAGCAATTTACTTAAAATAAATAAACAAAACTTGTCTACATTATTTAATGAAACCTGCACCAATTTTAATATATATATATATATATATATATATATATATATATATTTTTAAAGAAAGGTTAAAAACAAACTCTTTCAAGAACTTTTGATCCCCATACGGCAATAATCTTATCTAGTAGGCATAATCTGCTCGTCGACAAAGATATATTGCTTGAAATAATTCATATTTAGATTTTAATATTACTTTCAATGAAGTTTGCTTCTCTTTTTTTCAATTGTGTTTTTTCAACTTAATATCGTAAAAATAGTAGGAACTTGTCAATATTTGGTTATCAAAAGAACGGAGTTAATTTTTTCCAGCGAGGCTTCTTGAACTCGTATAATTCTCACACTCTACGTTTATTTTTCTCTCCGGAAAAATCACGCGAAATATCGTTGAAGATCACGTGATCCTCTAATTCTGCTTGAATGTGACGTGTTCCAGTTAACAGATGGAATAAAATGCTTTCGATTTAACTAAAATCCATAATGTTTCAGTCCGAACAGTTATCGACTGGACTTGAAAAGAAATAAATTAAACTGAGATCGTCTTGCAATTGGCCACCTCTCATAATCGAAGTGTGAAATGGTTTGGCACCAAATTACTGCTGAGAATGAAACGGTGGGAAATGTTTGACGTAAACAATGTAGTGCCAAAGCACAAACAATTTCTTTAAAAGTCGTTTCGTGTTAACAGGTTTCATTAAGAATGAACTAAGCTCAAAGACTGAATTTTAGTTCAATAACCATTCCTTCTACGATTTGCGAATAGCAACTGGGAAAGAAAATTCGGTAATATAAGTTCGAATACCGTTATGTTCCCGTTCACACAAATATGATCGGTAAACATATGAATCCATTTCCTCTGCTCTCACTCCATCTATGGGTTAAATAGCAAGGTGGCAAACAGGGTTGGTGGCAGAAAGAAAAAGTTGGAGAAGAAAAACTTCAAAACCTGCCGGAATTTGAATGGGCTTCGTCAAGTTATCAGGACTTGGATACATCACAACTGCTACAGTAAATATAATGTCTTTACATTAGTGCTTCTCTTCCTTTGTTATTTCAAGGTGTTCTTGTAGACTGGCTAAAACTCTGGAGCGCACTTGAAATTTTAATAAGGAAGAATTAGTCATGAAATATGAATGTAGGAATATAATAAAGAACCCTCCTGAAATAAGCATTTCTTTTTAAGACATTACATTGCTCCGTATCTCTAGAGTTTAAAACGTAAAGTTTTTGTTTTAAATATAAAAATAATTCCTTAATTGCTCTTCTGTTAACTTTGGGGGAACATTTCGCGGTACCTAAGCGTGACCGGCGTATCGCTTTAGTAACGCTAGTCTACAGCCATAACAGCCATAATTGTTTATTCCATGCTGATAACCGTTAACCTACCGTAAACCATGCGATGCACTTAAATTGAATATATAATATCTGTATAGTTCCAGGCAAATTCTGGTCACTTCCTTACATCTGACAATCTTTTTTTTTTTTTTTGCAAAATGTTTAATAGTGTTCAATACATTTCTGTCACAGAAGAAATGCAATGTTTCTATAGTAAAACATTAGCAATATTTTTACATTGCACCTATAATAGCATTTTTCTACTAATAATTTCTTTTATAAACCTAGTTCCGCCAGAACACAGGCGATCACTGTTCTCTATAATGTTCTATCTTTTCTAGTGCTAAGCAATGATTTTTCCCACTACAATCCTTAAGGGCTAGGGCCTCAGCTTTAAATCAGCGAAGGATGGTGGTGAATCCAGAATTATGTGAGGTTTATTCACCTTGCATTGTTTGCGTCGGTTTGTCCGCATAAATACCTTATTGACCGGTGACCGTCACACTCCATTGCTTCATGCTCCATCTGCACTCATTCATGAACACCATGTACCCTAAAAGGAATGGCTTACTCCAGAAACATAATGTACCATGTCATCGAGTCCAAATCGCTAGAATTGGTCTGTGATGCCATCTGGAAAATTTCGAGGAATGATGTGGCTTCCACGTTCGTTCGATGATATCAAGAGATGTGGTGGAAAGGCCTTATTCGCACGTTACGCCTACAAATATCATCAACCTGTAAAAAATTGTCGAGTCGGTATGGCTCAGCCTCTCTCCAGATGTCTCCCAACGACTCGTGGAGTCGATGCCACATCGTGTTACTACACTACGCCGTGCGTGTGGTCGTTCTCCCTGATAGCAAACAATTTCCTGATGACTTTTGACACGTCACAGTAGCTGATCTTTTACTTCCGATCCTCGCTGTCTGTTCATTGATGTAGATCAACGGCCAGAGCAATAGCTGCAAACAAAAATTAGAAGATAACTAATAAAATAAAGATTAAATACTAGTAAAATATTATTAATATCCGGCTAGTACTAGTTTCAAAGTACACCCGTCTCCCAGAACGGCTAGTCAAATCCTACTAGAGACGGCTGCTCTGTTGTTTAAACTGGAACTATCCTGAGAAGACCCTAGGTACAGTTTCTGGAAGAGAAGCTATAATCTAGCGTGATCAATGTCTTTGAACAAAGACAGTGCGCCTAAACACTCGGTCATGATGACTAGGACAGATATCGACGACTTCTGGACAGTTTATCTATTTTCACTCAGAAGTATTGAAACAACAAATGAAATGGTTTCCAGGCACTTTCCAGAGATGACGCGCGTTGGATTCACCTTCTCAGGCCGATAACACCAAAAAGTCACCTATTTGACGAATGAACCATGTTGAAAATTGGGCCCGGGTCTTTGAACCGAACTTTCTAACCACGCAGTCACGGTAATTACTAAGAGCAATATATAATACAGGTAATAGTTTAGTGTATTTTCTGTTTCTGAATCAAGAAACTATTTAAAAAAAAACAAACATTTGATTGATTCGTTTTCTACGGTTTACCAAGCCTTAGCAGGTTATTTAAAACCAGAAGATATATTTAGATTGTAATATTGGCGGGGTTGTGGAATAAAATAATGGTTTAGTGATACACGTCTTACTAATTAACCCATAGCTGGGGTTGAAGAGTTGTTAACCATGTTTGCCGTAGTCTCTGAATATAGAATCCAGTGAAGTCCGTAATGTGTTCAATATCAGAGGTTGGCAGTGAAGATATTTTGGGAGAAAAAAACAAAATGGCTGCCTTTATACACGTCAGATTGAATATTTTGAGCTTTCTGATTGGTTAACCCTTCTATTGGTGAACTATAAAATGAGTCAACTCATTTAGGCTAGCTCACTAGTACATACAGAGTACCCAAAAATTCCAACAAGAGTTAGATTCATACCTTTCCTAATGGTATTTATATGTAAGTGATTATAACGAACACAATTGTAATTGGAACGCGCTTCTCCGATTAACAATACCAAGACATTATATATTATACCACCCGCACATTCAAGTTTACAGGACCTGGTATTCCCAAGGGATCACCCATCTGCTAAGTACTGACGTTGCTTAACTTCGGTGATCGTACGGGAACCAGTGTTTCCACATATTGTGACTGTAAACTGTTAAAAAGAAAAAAAAATTATGTTGTTTCAAAAATGTTCGACATGTGAATTTAATGTTATCAGCTTAAACCACAAAAATAGAGAGATCTATAAATACCTTTAAAAAAAAATATTCTTCAAAAATCGGAAGTATATTCCACAGAAGCAGCAGATTCCAAATGGATGCCGGCTTTGGTTTCGGCGATTTCATATTAATAGGTAGCTTTTCAAAAACAACGGTAAACAGCAAGCGATTGTATTTAAGAGACACTAGGATATATCAAAAAAGATTTCCACAAAATAAATAAAAAATCACTACGTATATATATAGCTGGAACGGATTTTCCAAATAAAATTTGTTGTTTATATTCGAGTTTAATAGCCTGAATGGACATATACGAAATTACATGTATGAGCATCCATACACATGCACGGATAAACGATGGAAAGGAAGATGACTTAGCTTAAGGAGGATACAGAAGCCTATTATGAGGAATTGATGCCAAGGAAACAGATAGAAATAGAGAGAGAGAGAGAGAGAAAGAGAGAGAGTTATTTTTTATTTAAATATGAATACAGGAAATAAGCATTTATCTTTTCGTCGTGGCTTCAGATTGGTCATTTTTCAGCAGCATTATGCTTTATTGACCTTTAAGATGAATCGACCTTTTTTTTTTATTCCGTTTTTTTTTTTTTTTTTCGTAAGAAAAATCTAACGGACACGACTTAATGTTGTTTTATTCTTTTGGACACTTATGCATCAATTGTATATCAACAATAAATCCATGCGAGCACACACACACACACACACACACACACACACACACACATACACATGTATGTGATAACATTCTCGGAATAAATCTGTAGAGATACTTCTTTGTTACGAAAAGGCCACTTCCACAAATTCTGATATATTTAGCACCGATTTATGCATACATACATACACACGCACACGCACACACATACATACACATATATATATATATATATATATATATATATATATATATATATCAATTATGTGGTGCAGTTCAATTTATATTACATGAATCATCCATAAAAAAACAGATTAGTGAAATTAATGATATAAATACCGAGAATACATCTCTGCAAATTAATTTATTAAAATTACATTAACCCACGAACCTCCAAATAAATGTTGTGATCCCTGTTTTTAATAAATACAACTTGTATAACGTCTTTTTTTGCTAGTACTTTCATCTGTTCATACAGACATCATCTTTCGTGTCCCGTTATTATTATTACCTGGATGTATTTAAAAAAAACAAATCAATTTCCATGCTGATGATGTAATATATATATATATATATATACACGTGTGTGTGAGTGCATGGTTTGATATTTACTATATTAGGTCTTGTTTTGCTCGAGGTGTTGCTTGCTTATTGGAGCTGAGCCATTCTTTATGCTGCTTCATATTGACGTAAAGACACCATTTTTCATCGTCACTGACAATGCGATAAAGGAAACGCTGTTTATGATCGTATGTAGATCGATGCCGAGCCACCAATTTAGCTGCAATTGTTGCGCGTTGAGACTTGCTGTGGTCATTCAACGCGTGTGGCAGCCATGAACCAAGCTTCTGAGCATTCCCCATTAAATGAAGTTGATTTACCACAGTTTTGTGGTCGCAATTCATCTGTTTCGCCAATTCTCTGGTCGCCTGAAGTGGATTTTCGTGAAGAAACTAGTTTTATCGCTCCTTATCTGGTCGACCGGGGCGCATCCTCCAGTTCAAAATTTCCTTTTCTTGGAAGCGCGAAAACCAAAGTCGGAAGGTACTTTGTGGCTTAACTCCTCGATTATATGCAAAAATCAAAAGGTGTCGAAAATGAGCAATTTTATTTACTTGACATTCTATTTTATGAGATTAAAATAGAAGCAAAAAGTAATGAAATTAACAAAAATCATACATATATGTAAACGTTAGAACAACAATAAGAAATTGTTGTTCGAAAACATTCGCCAAATGTTTGCCTTCCCAAAGATTTGTTTTTTAATTTAAAAAAAGACGCTCACGACTTATTCCCTAACCCAATAGATAGATAGGAACAAATTAAGAAAGAAAGAAAGAAAGAAAGAAAGAAAGAAAGAACTGCATTGAAACAAATCATGACATATGAACTGAATTAAATTGTTTGATAGATAGATAGATAGATAGATAGATAGATAGATAGATAGATCATCAAAAAGAGAATCCGACCTTATAACAGATAGAAAAAATACAGAAAAGGTGAAGGAAAGAAAGAAAGAAAGAAAGAAAGAAAAAGAACTGCATTGAAACAAATCATTACATATGAACTGAATTAAATTGTTTGATAGATAGATAGATAGATAGATATTACCAGATTTAGATAGATAGATAGATAGATAGATAGATAGATATTACCAGATTTAGATAGATAGATAGATAGATAGATAGATAGATAGATAGATAGATAGATAGATAGATAGATGCATCATAAAAAAGAGAATCCGACCTTATAACAGATAGACAAAATACAGAAAAGGGGAAAGAAAGGAAGAAAAAAAGAAAGAAAGAAAAACTGTCTTGAAACAGATCAATAAGTGTGAACTGCATGAAACTAGAAAGAGATAATGAAACAGAGAAAGAAATACAAGAAAACAATTTGCTCATTCTTTTCGCAGAATAGTCGAAGACACTGAATATTTTCAGTGACTTGTGTGCCATTAATCATGCCATAGTCCAAATATAGTTGAAACAAGGACCAACTAGAGAGAATATTTTATAAATACCAAAATTCGTGGACAGCAACGGATTTTCAAAACTAGCAAGACAAAAAAAATACAACGAACGAAAGAAATGAAATGAATTTAATTCTAATTTCGGCCAAATCTCGAAGTTGGATTCGCTGACGAGGAAAATTTTCTGATTACCGTAAAAACCAGACAAAAAATGACAAATGCACGCAAATGAGAGCGACACGAAAACACCCACATCTTTTCATTAAATATTGTATCTCTTTGTATTTTCGAATTATCAATATCATTTTTCCAGTATCTATCAATCAATCTGTCATTAAGTATATATATATATATATATATATATATATATATATATATATATATATATATATATATATATATAATTATTTTTAAAAATATTATTCGTTCATAAACGAATCATATTTATGAAGGAATCATAATTTTTAAAAATAAAAAGTAATTATAATTTAAGCTCTACCTCTGTATGGAGCATATATATATATATATATATATATATATATATATATATATATATATATATATATATATATATATATTATTTATATATATATATATATATATATATATATATGAAAAATGAAAAAATAAAAAATTAAAATCGTTAGACACACTGGGTTGTAGATTAATATTCTTTCGTTTTTTTTATTATTATTTCATTTAGATTCCTCGACTAGTTTCGACCAACATGACCATCATCGGGAGGAGAAATATTTCTGCTTGCTGGTAGCAGTAAACTACAGAAATGTATCTTTTGCTGGAGAAAATGAACTTTTGTCTGTAGTTTTCATTTGTTTTTTATTTTTTTATCTTTTTAACATGAATCTTTTAACAATCCTTGTGTTGGCCAAACAGTTTCTTTTAAGTTGTTATTTGGCATAAGATAAGATAACAAAGACCGTAAAAATAAACAGAAACACCGTAAGTGTGACGTCATATGGTTTAATCCTCCTTTTAATCGTAATGTTTAAACTAACATCGGAAGAATTTTCCTAAATTTACTTCATAAACACTTTAGCCATACACAAATACTATAAAATATTTTTTACAAAAATAATGTCAAGATCAACTATTACTGCGTTAATAACATAGATAAATCAATCTTTCAACATAACATTATATTAAACATATATAAATCCAACAGACAACTTTATTTTAAAAAAAAATAAATGCAAATACTGAAAAAAATATCTGTCCCTTAAACGGTCAATGTATGACTGATAATATTGTATACCGAGCTAGCATACATTCCAGGAAAGATGTTAAATTTTATTTTGGTTCCGCGGAAAATCCTTGGAAAATTCGTATTTATTAGTATCGAATGAATTTAAACAATATAAAATACAAAAAAAACAAAAGCACTGCTCTTTCTAAATATTTAGGGCAATTAAAGAATTATGTTAATACACATTTCATCACCTGGGATATTATCACAAGAGAAAAATCTCATAACGGGAAAGATGTTGAAAAATTGGTTATCTTAAAACACTTATCTGACCCAAGCTTATTAAGCAAGAGAAACAAATTGATTGTTACATGTTTGTATAAAAATAAATATCTGAATAAATACGCTGATAGAGATTAATTTTAATGACCATTATATTGCGTCTACTAAGTATTATTATTGCTTTTTATATTGTAATGAATATTATATTGTTCATTATATTGCTTTTTCATATATATTTCATGTTTGCTCCGCTTTTGTATATATTCCATATACCTTGCATGGAACACAGTGTTTGTAATGTCTACAAAGTCTATATCTATCTATCTATACTATTTACATTATTCGGACTATTTTCCTCATCTTTGTCGCCATATTTATTACAGCGCTTCGGCCTTCGTCAGGTTGGAATGTCGAACTGAACCCTTTATGTCGCTCACTAGGGTAGACTGTTCTAGTTCCACGTGCCATGTATAAGGGATGTCAGTTATCAGTTATCTCCTGTTAATTCCCCTCTCCAAGTTCTCCACTGCCTTAACTGGGTATTGAACTCACTCTTTGGGTCCTGTTATTGGATTTAACTAACGACACAGCGCACAGTGGATAAAGGCGTTGGTTAGATCCAGTGACAGGACTCAAAGAGTGAGTTCAATACCTGGTTAAGGCGGTGGAGAAGTTGGGGAGGGGAATTAACAGGAGATAACTGATAATCCATTAAACATGGCACATGGAACTTGAACAGTCTACCCCAGTGAGCGAAATAAAGGGTTCAGTTCGACATTCCAACCA